CATAGGCCTCATGTGCTGATGGCTTATTCCTATATCTTGTTCATGGCGCTCTTTGCTGGTGGCCGTTTTATCAGAGCTACACTCGAATCAGCTGGAGACGATTTTTGGGACCGGTTACCTTCGCCAGTTCAGCCGAACCGTCTCCCCTGTGAAGAGAGATCAAGGCCAACTAAGCGTGCAAGTGGCCTGCCCGACGAAGAGATCCCAGTAGACGACTTCCACTGCCATGCGACTCACACGATGCCTCTCCGATTTTTCCACTTCCAGACTCCTGAGGACGGGGAAGATTTGAAACGGGAATTTAAGCGACGACTCGCTAGCATGGAGGGTCAACTCACAGCACGCGAGAAGCAGGATATCGTTCAAGAGTCGATTTGCATTTTCGACAACATGACACTTTTGGTTCAGCAGCTCGACATGGTCTGTGATGACCCAGCGCGCAAAGAAAGTGGCGGCAGTGCAACCTCGTCACTACTTGACTTGGTCGATCAACTGCACCCGTTTCGTTCTCGTCTCAGGGATAGTGTTTCTATCGCAAGAGACAGAATCCAGCGATCTACAAAGCTTGCACCAAGCGGCACTAAATTAGTCTGGAAGATCTGGAACTACAGTGCAACCGCATCGACAGTGGAGCCAGAGAGTGGGAATAAGCTCCCGATCGGCCATCCTGGTCTCTCCAAGGATGATGCTGCAGCCATTGAACTCTGCCCAGCGTTTTCCAAGTCTGTGAGATTTGACAAGACCTTGCCGCGACCAATGCGCCCGCCCGCCAGAAGAAACACGACCGAGCACGAGCTGAAAGATTGTCTTCAAGTTGCGTCCAAGAAGCTTGATAGTATGAGCCTCTTCAACTGGTTGATAGTATTGACCGTTGGTGTTATTCTGCTGGGAGCATTGTGCTCTGCTAGGCGTGGCCGCGAAGTAATGATTATCGAAGCATGAGAGGAAAAGTTGTTTCATACAGCGATTGCATTTTGTTTGGCGTTTTAAGGAGTTGAAGGATTCAGGATAGCCCTCATTGGGGGCAAACACGTTTATACCTGGAGTCGGTTGCATTTTTATACCTAGAGCACACGCACACGATTGTACTCGATACCCGTTCACGGCCTTTCAGCGTTCTAGAAAGAAACGATTACGACACTAGATTCAGAGGTAGCTAGTTTACGTCACAAATACCTAAACGACACATCCTTGAACAAGATTATACTGTAATTCCAATCCGTTGATGCTATCTTTTAAACCGTCATTCCTCGTGAATGCCATCTGTAAATGACCTTTATGAACCCGCTTGCGTGCTTGAGTCTCTGTTGAAGGCTCTGCTGACTAACATACATGTTTGAAACGCCCATATTGGCTGAAGGGTATCGTATAATATCAAAGAAACGCCGTGCGCTACTGCAACATGCTATCAACTCGTTACTCATCATCTTCATCATCCCAGTCACTACCCACATCAGCCCAGCCCGCCATGTATCGCTCACCACCAAAATCTCCGATTTGTCTCAAGTACCGAGCCCGGCCTTCATCCTCCTGCCACTGACGTACGATAGAATCGTCAGACGCGCTGACTAATTTGCCATCGTAACTCCAGCTGACGTTTGAAACTTCGCGTTGATGGCCATGGACAAGAGCTGTGCCATTGCGGAAGATGGGGATTGTGGATGAGGTGGGTTCAGCGCCTGCGGTAGATGAGAACGAGCGTGAGGGTGTAGGTGCAGATCCAGGTGGATCAAGGAGGTGAGCACGCTGGGCACAAGCAGATCGAAGATATCGCTCGTCTGTGGGGAAGAGCACGACCGAAGACTCAGAGCTACCCACTGCAAGGAGGTCGGATGAGTGGGAGAGGCCCTTGGGTCTTATTCTGCACTTGACAAAAAATGTTCGTGCTGCGAAAGAGTCATGCTTGAAGCCATAAAGAGGTCCTAGGCCTTGGGCTTCGATGGGTCTCCTCTTGGTGGCTAGGTCTTTGAGCTCAGGAGCGTGACCAAGCATGAGATGAGCCATGGAGTAAGCGTAGATGGTATTATCTTTGCACACTGCGTACATACGGGCGGCATCACTGCTGAGAGACAGAGAGGTGATACCATACGAACGCCAGGCGTGGTTGGAGGGCACAGCGGTAGCTGAGAGAGGCGTGCTCTTTTCTTGGTGACGACGGTTGATATACCGAAGATCCCAGAGCTTGACAACAGCTTCAGCCTCAGAAGCGGAGAGTAAAAGATGTTCACGACCAGCGGGAAGCCATTGGATTGCAGTAACAGAAGCAGGAGAGGTCTTACCATGGGCAGTACGCTCATGGGTGTTGTCAAGAGTGTTCACGGTCGAGGCCTGGAATGGTCTGATGGTCTCATCTCGAACAGCAACGGTTCGACGACCTGTCTCGCTGCTACTGATTGTTGAGAAACTTCTCACATGAGAATGAGGGCACCTCAAATCCCAGAGTCGAATTCGACCAGCCTTGTCTGATGTTGTCAATACGTTGCCAGTGGATTGGCCTTTCTGCCAAGCAATCTGTCGAGTCGAGTTATAATGGCCATCTGCGAGTCTGGCAGCAATAGACTTGGTCGTAACATCCATGACCAGAGCTGCGTCACCAGCTGTAGTCGCAAGACGCATATCATCTTGGGAAAAGTCCATATCCCAGATGGCATTGTCATGAACAGAGTGAACGCCCAAGTCCTTTTCCTCGTTGGGATCATCGTTTGGAGAAGTGTCGAAGAACCTAACACAACCTTCTTCATCACCGACAGCCGTCACGGGGGCATTGTGAGTGCTTGTAAGGCAGAAGGGGATGGTGCGGCCGCCACTAGGAGTTAGACATTCATAAGAATCGATGCAGCGGCTGTGAAACCTTGCAGTCTCGGTTCGAGGGTCGCATGCTGGAGTGTGAAGATATGTCTGGCCGGTTGAATATCCAAGTCCATGCTCACGGTTGAGTAATTGTGATGCAACGCCCCTATCGCCGAATTTTCGGATTGGTCTAGGTGCGTAGTTGGCTAGCTCCTAGTGATGATGTCAGTGACTCCAAGGACCCTGGAGATAGTAACATACGTTATCAGGTTGAGGTTCCTCGGTGATGCTGGGTGTATTAACGAGAAATGGTGACTTTTTAGGAGTTCGAGCAACTCCACGGCTGGTCTTGAAGAAATTGCTCTGATGTGGTGTAAGTAGAGGAGATCGCGTGAGCAATTTCAGACCAAGCCAAACTTACCAGGGTAGCTCTTCTATAGCTATCAAGACTCTCCAGACTAATTTGATTTTCTGACATTTGGATTTCATTATCATAGCCGGGAAGTGTGTTGCTTGAGGTAGATGTAGTTGTGGTGGCACTGAACCGAAGTGGTGGCATATCATCCAAGTTCAATGTTGGCCTCTTGAAGACAGCCTCATCACCCGAAGCCTCGGCCTGAAGCTTCCTCTTCCGTGATTCATCCTGGAATCTATCACTTGGAGAAGAAGGTAGAATAGGATCACTATGAAAAAGAGATTGGGGGGAAATGGGCTGCTGGTTAGTATCAGACTCGTCCAAGCTCCCAAGAGCAGTTCTAAACTTTGGCAACGGCTGAGTCTGAAACTGTCTTGGTTGCCAGAAGCGATTGAAGCGGCGAGGCGTTATCGAGGGCGTCCCTTTTGGTCGTGACGATGATGCAGGCGTTGGAAGAGCATCTGGGCCATCGGAGGACATGGCAGGCAACGATTGCCCTGTTGAAGCCGCGAGAGGCTGGGCTGGGCTGAGCTGGGGAGTCGAGTCTGACGATATATGCTGGCCAAGAGGTCACAGTTCACGGGTTGACGAGAGGAATTCTTGCAGAGACACAGATCAGAACATGTCGAAAATTGAATATGGTGGAAAGAAGAGACTCCAATTGCAGAATTAGTTTGGTTGCCAGAGGAGCCAAAAGGCCGGGCTGGGATGGGGTTGAAGCGAGACGAGAGTGGACCATGCCAATGTCATAGGCCAAAGACGCGGTCGCGAAACCGCGGAGCGTGTAAATGGGCGATGTTCTCGCGTAAAATGGCCGTTCCTAGCAGCGCCACAGTTGGAGAAGACGTCAGTGCAACTAGGTGAGTAGCCGACGTCAACTGTGGCTCAAAGCTCTCTAGGTGCCTAAGCTGCAAGGGTCAACGATGCGGATGTGGCGACTCCCGCTTTTGGCGGTGGCTGCAGGACTGTGTTTTCTTTTTCCCCCTGAATATGATATCTCTTGAATGATCATTTTAAACCGAGACAAGTCATGAATCACGGCTTCGCAGGGGGTCGTTGACGTGACGAGCAGCAATTGAGTCATAACGAGAGTTGAAGCGAAAACGGGCAATAAATAATCGAGTTGTTGAGTCACGCTTTGAACGGGACTTGGACGCAGTTCAACTGACGAGAGCCGTGATATTCTCCACTACCAGCGGGCCATTCCCCGGAATTTTGAACTCATATGCAAGGATAGAAACAGTCTCGTCAATGATGCCATTGGTGATTACTGCAGGTCTATAAAAACATGTATTTTGGGTACATTCCTTACATATGCGTGATACCTATCACCGCATATGACAACTCATCAGCACCAATGGCTTTCATGCAGTATCGTAGCCATGTCACGTTGGTCCTGTCAGTCAAATCCTCAAATCCTTTAATCCTTTTAAAGTGCCCCTATTTCCACACATTCCCATTGGTCGCTCCCCACCTCCCTCTCAGCCTCGTCTTTTACCTTGTCTCCCGCCAAAGCCGATGGCCCGTTCACCGATAGCCACTCCTGGCATCCACTGGAAGAAGCAACGCAACCCTTGAGAGTTCCAAGGCCAATGGTGTCATCCCTCACCATAATCACTCTCTCACAATCACTGTCCTCCCGTCTCCGTAATACCCAATCCCTTATTTTTCTCCAGACATTTTTGTTCCTGCACCTCTCTCTTATTATTCTTTCTCGCACCTGTCCTCCCTCTTGACCTATCTGTTATTTCTTTTCTCCGGGCCAGATTGATTTCTTTGCGCACAAGGTCAAACCATGTGCCGTTTTCTGGTGAGTCCCCTATAATCAAGATCCCTTATCTATACCTCCGAAGCCGGCTTCTTGGTCGCACGCAGAACACGACACTGACACCCGTAACTCTTTCAGGTCTACAAAGGGAGTGACGAGATTCTTCTATCAAAGCTGATTCTTGATCCTACTCATTCTATTCTTAAACAATCATTTGATTCTCGGTTGCGTCTCGTGGGTCAACCTCAGTCAATTTCTTTGACCGACAATCAAAGGAACGTCATATCATAACTGACACATATAACCATCTACAGGATACGAGACGAGGTCAGAACAACGCAGATGGCTTTGGCATAGGCTTCTACACAGACCCTAAGCTTGGGTCAGCGCCTTGCCTTTTCACCTCGACCATTCCCGCCTGGAATTGCACCAATCTGCAGCGAATCGCTTCAAAGACCGCCTCCCGCCTAATCTTTGGCCATGTTCGTGCCACGACCGAAGGTTCCCTGAGCGAAGACAACTGCCACCCTTTCACACACGGTAGTCTAATGTGGATGCACAATGGCGGTCTGGGTGGATGGAAATACATCAAGCGTCGCCTGGGCGAGCGTCTTGCTGACAAGTGGTATTTGGGCGTCAAAGGCGGAACGGATAGCGAGTGGGCATTTGCCCTCTTCCTCGATACTCTTGAGCGACTTGGCCACGACCCAAGCGCTTGCCCCGAAACTGGCTTTGGTCCGACTATTCTTCGAGAGGCTATGAAGCGCACGATCGCGCAAATCAACGAGATGACCGATGCGATCCCCGAAAGCATACTGCAGAATGAGGATGTCGATACTAGAAGCTTGCTAAACTTTGCTGTCACCGATGGTCATAGCGTGATCTGCACTCGATACATCAGCAGTTCCAAGGATGAGGCGGCGAGCTTGTACTATTCTTCCGGAACCCAATGGACAACACGAACACAATCTGCAAGTGACAAGCAATATCAGATGGAACGCAAGGATCGGGGCGCTGACATTGTACTTGTTGCAAGCGAGCCCCTGACGTTTGAGAGAGGTATGCAAAATGCTCTTGGTATTGACGGGGAGGGGCTGACTTGAAGCAGAGAATTGGGTCAACGTACCAACAAATTCCATCTTGACAATCCACAGACAGACCGTTATGGTGCATCCGATAATCGACAAGTACTACGAGCGTGATCCTCACCACGTTCGCTCTAGTGCATTTGTCCAGGCCAAGGGACTTACATCAAACGAGAAGAACCGAAGTGACGTTGCTAGTCCTGCGGGAGTTGATCGGCAGCAACAGGAGCTTGAGGGCTACCGCAAGATGATGACAGGCACTCTCAACTTTGGCCCACCCAGGAGCCTCAGTCCCGATGTGTGCCGTCAAACCAGAAAGGTAGCCCCGGTGTGTGAGTCGATACCCGTGCCTCAACCACAAGCACCGCCTCCGCCCGCACAGGCAACCCCTCCAAGTGAACAAGGCAACAAACCAGCCCCAGCGCAGGGAAACATCAAAGTTAAGAGACGATCTGTCCAGCTGCTGGATGGCAACCAAGGCCAAAGTTCAAACGATTACGATCAAATCTCGGATACCGAAGAGCCAGCGAGGGCAGATGTGCATAACCCTAGGAAGCTTTCGCGGTATTTCCCTGAACTGACGCTCGCATCGCATGCGGGGTCTTAGAAGGAAGGGGAGGGGAAGGCTGGGAAACAGGGCGAGGTAATCTGGGGTAATGACATGATATGGTAGAAGGGGCCAAAGGGGTGCGAGATTTGGTTTGAGTTTATTTTACGGCCGTGTGTGCTTGGGCATCGCACCGAATATCTCGGCGCTTGTGGCATGGTGTTGAGGTGTGAATTTCATTCAATATGGTGTATTCTACCTAGATTGGCATTTCGGAATGTTTTTTTGTGTTTCATGAATACCCTCGTATCGGAATCACCATATCGAGCCATAGGAACCAAATGGGAATCAAAGTTTACTGTACGACGATGTCTCTATGCTTTAAGGACTCGGTTAACATGGTGACAGATGCGTTTAACTTCTAGGCAACAATGGCTTTTGCCGCCTCTTTGTCAAGACAGAGTGCTCATTCGCTGTCACTCGCCCCTATCACGGCCAAATGCGCGTGAGAGTTCGACAGCTCCCACATAATATCATGAAACATCACACACAGGCAAGCCATAATGTTGAGGCACTGGCAAATAGGGGAAAATACGTGGTGGTGATGACTTCAGAGGCAGTGCGTTGCTCTAAAGCTACTTCCAAACGAGCCTGCCCTCAACGACGACAACCGATTCAACACCTTAACTGCCCGCCAAGGACGTTTGGTGTAGCCCAAGTCGCAGGCGGTACTTTCAACGCTTTTGTAACCACCCAAACTGTACGGCGCTTCTTCAAACCTACTTAAACAACGTGAAGCTCTCGTTACCATATCCTTTCCTCTTCCCCCTGACTATACCACATATATGACTGAATAGCGAGTGACACTGAGTAACGATATGCCTTGCGGTGTCGCCATCATTCGGTACGAGCAGTGCCTGCACAAGCTCCTCTTCAAGGTCGGATGCACTCAAGGTTGCAAAGAGCTTTGCCCCGCGTCACGTCAAAGAGTCCTCGTCGTCACTAGTTACCTCTGGCTCTGTGAGGACTGCCACAAACGTGAATTCAACACGGAGCTCGCCCAGCGATGCTGCAAATACACAGATCTCCGACGCGCAGTCCCCCTGGACTACCCCCCTGAGCAACAGACCATGTTGAGCATCGTATTGCAGAACCGCCAGTGCCTTGACAACGCGTTCCGCGACAGTGCCCGCGCCATGAAGCTTGAGGAGATCCAGTGGGTGGCAGAGTGGACGTATGAGTATGGCCTTATGCTGTACGATGTAACGGTCGCGAGGAGATGGGATCGAAGCAAGGCTATGAGGAGGATAGACCAGCTGAGGAGCTTGCGTCTTTGGGATCTTGTCGTGATCAAAGACGGACTACGATGTTCTAAGGAGCTCTTCGAGGACCAACCAGAGGAAACCTACTGGACAATCAGTGGTGAGTAGAGCCTTCAGGGGATATTACAGAGGAGAGAGCCTGACTTGGCCCAGAGCAATTCGCCGAGCAGCATTATGACCGAGCAAGCGAGGTACAGCTCCTCGAGCCAAGTCGACCACAGCCCCCTTTGTTTTTTGAGACTGAGAATACACATACACCTGAGACAAAGGAAAGCGATGAGTCCCCTGACATGATGGACTGGATCCAAGATGGCGAGGATGATGATGACGAGAAACCCATCGCTGAGCAGCCTCCTCCATCACAGCCACTTCCTGACGAATAACTCCATGACACTGCTACGACGCACGACTACGACTACCCACGTCTCGCTGAGCCGGTAGTTGCACCCTAGGTGCCAAGCAGGCGGGCCTCGAGGAGGAGACCCGAAGCTCTGGTCGGCAGACGCGGTTATCAACTTTGATTAAGATGCCGTAACATAAACTCCCCCAGCGTTGCAATACACCCACGGCCAACCCACGCTCGCCCGCATCATTCTGTATGTGCATAGTTTCAAGTAAGAGGTATAGGAAATCGAAACTATTCTCAGATTGATAACGTACATGTGATTGCGGGCGTAACGTTGAATCTAACCCCATGACAACTCCACGTTAGTCGGGTAGTTGGTCGTGCCCATCTCCATCTGTTTTGCACTTCCACCCCTTCCCCTTGCCTGATATTTCATTTCTCATTTCTAGATGTATTCTTTTAATGTCTTACACCCCATCCCACCCTATCCCGTCCTACCTAATCACCACAAAGGAACCCAACCCCAATTGTGTTTGACCTACCTCGTCGGGAATAGCATCAATCTCAGAATGACAAACCTCATCAGCCTCAGGTTTAGTCTGCCCTGTATGCACACCACCCCCCGTCCCCCCAGCCTCGGCCATGTCTGTTTTCACTCCTGAAACCAGCATTAGCTATGCCTTTTTTCTCCGTCTCTGTTATGCCCCTTGATCGTTCGCCGTTCTCACCGAAACCATCCCCCCCGATCCTTGTACACTACCAGCAAGGCTCAGCAGGATTGTTACATGTCGTGGCGTTTTGTCCACCCCTACTAGCTCCAGGAGACAAGGCCGAATGGATGTGGAGAGAAGGGAGGATCCTTTTAGCTTTTTGGATTTTGCTTGTGATGTTACGTTGAGGAGGGAGATCGCTGACTAGGATATGTTTCTGCGTTTGACTGTCTCAGTTCTCGATGATAATAAAAACGTCCTTATGGCTACCTATACATGTGCCTGGATGTGGGAATAAGCATTGCAACAGCCTTGCAATCTCCATTTGGAGTTGCATTGACAGATTATCATACTGTTGCATGTCTCATTCCAAGTGACAGCGCAACGTGGTGCAGGGTGGTATCCCGGTGTAGAATACGTAACTATATCGCCATGCATCTGTCGTTTACACAACAACTACTACCGTACCGGTACTTGACTTGACAGAGTTCAAGCAATTGAACTGACAAGGGACCCATCCCCAACTCCATTGCCGTAAATCATCCCTAATGTCGATCATTGAACCCATTCCCATCCCCACACTCACTTTCAAACTCTGGCTTGAATCGGCCAAAAAAATTATCTGGTAGTGGGTTGGGCACTTTGACGTCTCGTCTTGTCTCAATCTCGACCAATCAACGATCTAACCGCGCCTTATCAATCCTCGTCCAGCTGTGCTCTTCTGCAGTATCCGTGCAGTAAATGCAGTAAAAGCCCTTCACCTTCGGCCGGCTCCGCCAGGGACAGCGGAGTCAACCCGCGGTGGCGCCGCTGCAAGCCAGACAGACTCTGACCTTTCGCTTTTAGGGGTACTACGTGGTATAGCAAAAGCTAGCTGGAAATAAAATAAAAAGGAGGCTGAAAATTAGAGGCTGTATTCAACCTAGCCCAGCCCTGTAACGTCTTTGCAACTGCCAAATCCTGCATCGTCTTTCACTAGCACCCTCGGCATATCCTGGATGTGAGGGTCACTCTCGACTCCCTAACGTACTCCTTTAATCGTTCGTTGACTGGCACAAGTTGTAGTTTGACACTTTTCAGGTGAACGTTCGTTTTAATCTCGGTCTCTTTGGGACCATATTCAGTACGTACCCAACTCCAGAAGGTCTGTCCTAATATGCTAAACCGAAACGCCTTGCTACCTTTCTAACGTAACCGATCCGTATGCTGTTGTGTTGCGTTGCCTGCGTTACATAATACAAAGATGATGATACTAGCCTTTTCATCAAGCTAAACTCCCAAACTTAATCCCACAGTAGTCCCGAATCCGAATATGACACACACTCACTCACCATTAGGCTAAGCTAACAAGACCGGCCAACTTCACCAACCCCTACCCACGCATGCCTGTCTGCAATTCATGACAGCCCCTTGCAACTTGATCCAAATCCCTGATTCCCATCTCATCATCTCAGCCCAGCCCAGCCCCAGCTCAGTCCGAGCACAAACGCCTTCACATGTCAATCGCCGAACACCCCTGCACATCAAAACATGATCCACTCCACCTCCACTCCGGGTCCCCCGATGCATTTGGTCCAGTTGAACGGTCCGCGTTGATCCCCGGTCCTGGTCCCCAACATCAACGGCTCTTCTCCCGCCCAATCTTGGGCCCACAACTTCTCCAGCACCTCCAGAGCCGCCAAGTTGTTCATGTAACCAGAACGGAACATGATATCACGACACTTGGACCGCACCATGTTTTGCTGTAATTCGTTGACGCACTCGCAGCCCGCAACGAAAAGGGGCCAGAGTAGAAACTTCTCGGCGCTACTTCCTGTGTCCAGGTTCGTTGCGTAATAGACCACCTGGCTGACAAGGCTCTGGATACTCTGGTGCCCTGAAGGTAACGATGGGCTCACTAGTCGCTCCGTGTATAACAGGGCGGCATAGCGGAAAGCCTCAGAGAGTGATTCCAGGTCTCGTAGTTGACTCTGTGTACAGGGCTCAGGAAGTGAGGCGCTGACCCTGGGAGCATCGAAGTTCCAATTCTGCAGGGCCAGCCGTGCTTCTTTCCACTCATGCCAAAACAAGGAGCGACCTTCTTCGTATGACGCGGCCGGGGCACTTGTTGGCGCAGTTCGGTCCTCGTGGATTCCCGTGTTTGATCGCCCATCACCAAGGCCATGGCTAGTGACACTACTCATGTCCCCTAACTGATCGTTCACATTAAACCCTGTGAGAGATTCTCGCCGAGCGTGACCTAGTGGAGAGATGTAAGACAAGGACGGAGATCGTTCAGGCACTTCCTGAGTTCCATATGCGGCAGCTGCTTTTCGTACGGAGCGATTCTGAGACAATAGATTTAGGCGACCGAGTCTGCTAATGGTCTTGAAGAGCTCGCGGTCACACCCCACCAGGTTCTCGGCTCCAACAGGCAAGAGTTGAGAGTCTGACACCCCACTGAAACCGGGATACACTTGAGACTCGCGCTCGTTGATGCTGGCAGAGATGGCGTCAAAGTAGTTGAAAATAGCCTCCATCCAGGCCGAATTGCTAGATGTTGCAAGATGCTGAGTTCGAAGAGCAAGAATCTTGCTGACACCGGCAAACTGGGTATGGAATTTGGCGATACCGGACTCAACCATGCGGTAATGACATAGTAGGAGGATCGTAGCAAGGACCGAATCGTGAATTGCTTTGGTC